AGGCAAGCGCTCTACCACTGAGCCACCTTCCCAGCCTCAGGGGAGTTGATTTTCAGCCTTAGTAGTCTGTCTCCAAAATCCTACAAGCAGTTCTTTCAGTGTGTGATGTGGACCTTTAATTGGTATGCTCTGATATTGAGTCCTTATTCCTGCCTGCCTTCTTCCCTTACCATCAAGAATCTAGCCCAGATGCAGGGCCTGTATTCTTCCACTGGGTTCTCTTGCCTGTTGCTGGTTTTCTCTTTAGAACTTAAGGACAATTTTCAGGATCCTTGTATTGTACCTGACGTCTAGCACTTTATTTTCAAGGTGGACATCTTCAATAAGGAGCTACTGTTAATTCCTATCCACCTGGAGGTGCATTGGTCCCTTATTTCTGTTGACGTGAGGCAACGCACCATCACCTATTTTGACTCACAGCGCACCCTAAACCGCCGCTGCCCTAAGGTCTGAGGGGATTAAGGGAAGATGGATAGAGTTTGGGGAGATACAGTGAAGTGGCAAGGCATTTCACCCAAAAAATGGCTTTCAGTCTCTGACTTGAATGTTATTTGCCAATACCATACCCTGGATTCATTTGAGCAAGGAAATGCATCACTTTCTCTTTTTCCCTGTCTAAATAGCATATTGCCAAGTATCTGCAGGCAGAGGCAGTGAAGAAAGATCGACTGGATTTCCACCAGGGCTGGAAAGGTTACTTCAAAATGGTGAGTTACCAGGAAGAATAGCATGGGGTGATGGTAGGGGGTAGTGCGTAAAAGGCAGATACTGGGGGCATATTCTTGGGAGGCTGCCAGTGAATGAGCTTACTTTTTATTTTTTTAGAACGTGGCCAGGCAGAATAATGACAGCGACTGTGGCGCCTTTGTGTTGCAGGTAAGGACATGGGGTTCCTGAGCTTTGGATTTACTGAATTAAAGGGGGGTTACAAGCTGGGCACTGGTGGCTCACACCTGTAATCCTAGCTACTCAGGAGGTTGAGATCTGAGGATCATGGTTCAAAGCCAGCCTGGTAGGAAAGTCCAGGAGACTCTTCTCTCCAGTAAACCATCAGAAAACCTGGAAGTGGCGCTGTGGCTTAAGTGGTAGAGCACTTCCTTGAGCTGAAGGGACAGTGCCCAGTCCCAGAGTTCAAGCTCCAAAACCAACAACAACAAAAAAGAGGGGGTGGGGATTTATGGGACTGTTGATTCATTTAACTCAGAACCAGTTGTGGAGTCAGGAGCTGCCAGATGTGTTAGAATACAGGATATCTACTTCCCACAGCGGCTTTGGGTCTCTGGCCTTTGACTCTGGATTTGACACAGGTGCCTAAATCTGACTTAATATATTTTTTCTCACTTACACCAAGAAAAGCTTTAAAAAGAATCAAGCTTATTTTAACTAAGCCTGGTGCTCTCTCTATATATAAAATGAGAATGTTTTCTGAAAGATTAAAATGTTAACGGTATAGCCATAGGTCTTCACTGTGGAGGACTACTCAGTACCTGATTCTCATGACGTACTTTGTTAACATCTAGTACTGCAAGCACCTGGCTCTGTCTCAGCCATTCAGCTTCACCCAGCAGGACATGCCCAAACTTCGTCGGCAGATCTACAAGGAGCTGTGTCACTGCAAACTCACTGTGTGAGCGTCGTGCCCCATGCCCTGAGCCCATTAATGGGCAGGGGGACGTGGGAGATCCTTCCCAAGAAACTCCAGTTCCAATCCAGTTCCCTTTGGTTTGTTTTGTTTTTCATATTTAAATGTTTAAATTGACTTCTGTATTTTTTTTCCTTTTTGAGAGAATACTGATTTCTGATGAGCAGGGCGTGGCCATGGAAAAGCCCTTTTCTCACCTCTCTATAAGGGGAACTTTGCCTTGTGGCCTGCGTGGAGCAGTCATTCCCCCTTCCATGTTCAAGAGACAGGAAAAACGTGTGGGGGTGGTGGGCAAGCAAAGGGATTACTGCCTGCCAGATCTTCAAACCTTTTTTTTATATAAATATATATATAAATGCCATGGTCCTGCTCTGGTCAATAAAGGATCCTTTGGAGATACATAACAGTGGTCTTCCTTAAGGCTTCAAACTTGTGGATGTGCTCTCGCTCAGGTCTTCAAGTTATGGCTAACTACCCATTCTGGGATCTTGAGACCTTCTAAACTAGTTTTCCATACTTGGCTCAGACAGTGCCAACACCCTATTATTCTCATCACCCAAGCAACTCCCCTGCCAGGGGTGAAAAGAGTAAGGAGAAAGTAAAGTTGGTACCTCAAAAATAAGGGAGCTTAAGGGATAGCACTCAGGCCCTGAGTTAAAGCCCCACGACGGACAAAAAATAAAATAAGGGAGCCTAAGAAGAAAGCTGGAGAACAAGACGCGACTGAAGGGACCAGGGCCCGAGGGGATGGCCAAGCTGAATAACAGCTGCCCACATAACATACCCTTAAGCCAAAAAGTTCCCACCATCCAGGGGAACTTTCCCAGTTCTTGGGCTAGCGCATTCCCATTCCACTTAAGAAGCCTGGGCTGTGTTGGGTCTGTCTGCTGCTACGGGGAGCAAAAGTTAGGAAACCTTTCGCTGAGGTAAAGGGAAGTGACATTCCCAGGAGCGCGGAAGTCCCTGGAGGCTTGAGACCTCGCCCCCTCTGCGCGATAGGGCCTCCCGAACCACATGACTAGGCCACGATCGCCTCCGCACGTGTAAGGGTGCAGGGCCCCAAGATGGCTGCCAGGCCTCGAGGCCAGACTCCTGTATGTCACTTCCGTGCCGGCGAGAGAGGCGGGCCCGCTAGCCAATGAGGCTGTGAGGCGGGTCTTCAACTTGATAGGCATCCAAGGTACCCAATGATAGCTGCGAACCTTAGCGTCTACGAACTAACGTCACGCCGAGTTGCAGAGGGACGGCGGGCGGGGCCGAGGCGGCCAAGCCAATGCGATGGCTGGGGCGGGGTCGGGGGGCTCTATAAGTTGTCGATAGGCGGGCACTCCGCCCTAGTTTCTAAGGATCATGTCTGCGAGTCAGGATTCCCGGTAAGAATAGGCGTTTGCAAGAGCTTGTGGCTACTTACCCCATCGTTCCCGTTTGAGGACCCTCCTGGGGCCCAACCTACCGCCCCAGGTCCCCCGGGGTTACGGGGGAAACCGCCCAAGGGGCAAAGGGGGGAGATCCTACGGCCGACGTTGCCAACGGGGTCGAGGCAGAGGGAAGGACGGCCCGGCTAGAGCCGAGCGAGCGAGGGTCGTCTCGAGTTCTCGTCTTAGGCGGTCCCGTGCGCGGAACCCTGCCTCTCGGTGGCCGGACGAGGTCGCGACCTGGCGTGGGAAAGCGGCGGCTGCGTGGCGCGGAGCCGGCCGGCGCTGCCTCTCCACCGGGGGCCGGCTCGCGCGCGGGGCTGCCGGAGGGTTCCGACGGCACCACTCGCGAGGGACGGGGGCGCCCGGATCCGTAGCCACGCAGCGACTCGGTCGCCGTTGAGATGTGGGTCGGGGGAGAAGAAACCGGCCGGAACAGTGTGCTGGTTTTCTTGACGGCCAGGACTGACCCTAAACCCGAGGAGCGGCCGCGTGAGGCACCAGGAGCCCACCCGGCGCCGGGCGGGCGGGTCCATTTTGCCGCACAAGCTGAGCAATTGGCAAACTGCGGATGGGCAGGTCCACTTAACTCCGGGGGTGAGCGGCCTGAGGTACGGGAGGGCGACGCCATTTCGCGACGGGGCGGGCGGGATGTGGATTGTTCCATGGAGTGGGGGGGTGGGGGAAGCCGCTGGGTGGCCGACGGAACGAGCACATGGCGGCTTGAGGGGTTCCCCTCCCCCCGTCTGCTTTGCTTCTAAGTGTTGTGCAATCCCCCCCTTGCTAGCTCGACTGGGGCTCATTGTGCGCGAGGCCGCCACCGCCCGCGGCCTCCCACATCCGGGCACCGCGAGGGGGGAGGGAATCGGCTGGAGGAAGTCGGGGGAGGGCGTGGGCGGGATGACGTGGGGGGGGAAGGGGACGTCCTATCGGGTCTGGGAGTTGAGGGGCGGGACTTCCGGTTTTCTCTTGCCGCGAAGGGGAGGTGCTCGCGATTGGGCCTTGAATGGTGAACCCCAGTACACGTGGGCTGGGCGGCAAAAGCTACATCCGGGCACTGGATATGACGATATTCCTACCGGCCCGACCCTTAACCAGTTTCCTTACTTTGTGGAGGTGACCAGGTCCCCTACTTAACTTTTTTGAGTGGTTCCGAGTATCTTGGAAACTGGTAGGTGAATCAGGGAGTGAAGGCTGATGGGCCTAATGCTCGCCCTTTTGCTGATAAAGCTCAATTTTTAAATCTACAGATCCAGAGACAATGGCCCCGATGGGATGGAGCCAGAAGGTGTCATCGAGGTAAGACTGACAACTTCCTTTTAGCTTTACATACAAAGCCAGTAGGGTTTTATTTAACTAAAGGCTGGAGGGCTTGTGAAAGTACAAAGTCACCATTTAGGTCTTAATGTCTTTGCACCCCGCAGAGTAACTGGAATGAAATTGTTGACAGCTTTGATGATATGAACCTTTCGGAGTCTCTCCTCCGTGGCATCTATGCCTATGGTTTTGAAAAGCCCTCTGCCATCCAGCAACGCGCCATTCTTCCTTGTATCAAGGGTAAGGCATTTCAGCCCCAACAGAATTGATTGTGGACTCTCCCTGTTCTGGGCAAAGTGGCATCAACTTCATGGTGCTTATCTTATATCAGCCAGGGGCAAAACAATCCCATGTTTATCCCAGCATGGCTTTTGATCTGTGCCTTTGCCTGGTTCATGCCTTGGACACACATGTTGCTGTTTATGTTTATTAAACTATTTGTCTCATGAACCAACCCAAAATAGATGTTTGGTGAGAAGTAAACTAATGCTTTGTTTTGTTCAGGTTATGATGTGATCGCTCAAGCCCAATCTGGGACTGGGAAAACAGCCACATTTGCCATATCGATTTTACAGCAGATTGAATTAGATCTAAAGGCCACTCAAGCCTTGGTCTTGGCCCCCACTCGAGAATTAGCTCAGCAGGTAAGTGTCATCTTTCCATCAAAGGGTTACTTTATAAGACAATGAATTTAGCACCACCCCTACACCAAAAATTTCCACTGCATTTAGGGGATGAAGAGATACTCTGGTGAGAGAAATGATTTGGTCCTAGTTGTTGGGATAATTGTAGGCTGTTTTCTATCCAAATATAACCATTTCCTGGGTCAGATGGGAAGGTTTCTGGGTAGAGCCCAACTGGCTAGGCAAGTTAGATGGTTATTTTATAAACAAACCCCCTGGCAGTGGGCAAAGAGACACTTCGTTGGTGGTGGTGGCTCTTATATCAGTCAGGGGCAGAATATGTGATGATCCTTTGTTCATCCTAGCTTGATGCCTGGATCAGTGGCCAAAGCTGTTTCATGCCTAGGACACAGAAATTTGTCAAGATTGTTCTTTGAGACTTGGAACAAAAAAAATAACATTAGACTTAATGCTTTGTGAGGCTCAAAGTTTTTCAGTAAAGGTCACCTAGCTTGGGCTTTGTAGCAAGTATGCGATCGACCCCCAGGTATGCCTTAGTGGTCAATAAATGTTTCTGAGTTCTAAATAGGTTACAATTTTCAGAAAGTTGAGGAATTTTTTTTTCCTTTTGGTCTGTCTTGGGGCTTGAACTCTGGGCTCACTGTCAGCTCTTCCGCTCAAGGCTAGTATCTACCACTTGAGACACAGTACCACTTCCAGTTCTATGGTAGTTTATTGGAGGTAAGAGTAATGGACTTTGTTTGAAACTTCAAGCTGGCTTTCAACCGTGATCCTCATATCTGCACCTCAGTAGCTAGAATTACGGGCATTAGCCACTGGCGCCCAGCTTAACCTATCTTAATTGTGTTAAGTGATGAGATAAAAAAGAAAGTAGGTTTCATTGTGAATAAATACATGGTAAAAACCACTTAAGACTGTCACAGTTCTTATCAGTCAGGCACTGGTGGCTCATGCCTCTAATTATAGCTACTCAGGTTGAGATCTGAGCATCACAGTTCAAAGCCAGCTTGGGCAGGAAAGACCATGAGACTCTTCAATAAACACTAGAAAGAAAACCAGAAGTGGTGCTGTGGCTCAAGTGGTACAGCACCTTCCTTGAGCTGAAGAGTGCAAGGGCAGCGTCCAGGCCCAGAGTTCAAGCCCCAAGACCAAAACACAGGGGAAAAAATACCTTGTTTTTTTTCTGTGTTTAGATACAAAAAGTGGTCATGGCATTAGGAGATTATATGGGTGCTTCCTGCCATGCCTGCATTGGGGGCACCAATGTACGTGCTGAAGTGCAGAAGTTGCAGATGGAGGCTCCCCATATCATCGTGGGTACTCCTGGCCGTGTATTCGATATGCTTAATCGAAGATACCTGTGTAAGTACTATTTTTCAATTGGAGTCATCTATGTATCCTTTCTCAAACTATTACTTAACCAGAAATCTTTGCAGGAATAGGTTTTCCTTTCTTGAGGAGATGCTCTATGATGAATCCCATGCGTGTCATCTGAGCCTAACTTCCCTGTTGTCTTGGGCCCTGTTAGTGTTCTACTTCCCAGGGCTGTCTGGCCTGTCAGGGAATTTCTGGGCAAAGGATCAGTCCTTAAATTCTGAGAGCAGGCTTCCTGTCAAGTTTTCTATTTAGCAGGAAGTGGCTTAGATTTCACACTTTGGTAATTAGGTGTTTGTATTAATGCATTGTAGCTCCCAAATACATCAAGATGTTTGTACTGGATGAAGCTGATGAGATGTTAAGCCGTGGGTTTAAGGACCAGATCTATGATATATTCCAAAAGCTCAACAGCAACACCCAGGTAAGAAAGTGGGTGAAAGCAGAGCAAGTGCCAAGGAACTATACGTGATCTTGAAACTTTCTTAACCTCTTAGACCTCACTAGGGATAAGCATGACATATCTACCCACCCTGAGGGGTAATCTTTTTTACCAGGTGGTCTTGTTGTCTGCTACAATGCCTTCTGATGTGCTTGAGGTGACCAAGAAGTTCATGAGGGACCCCATTCGGATCCT